ACACACAGATGTATAACATTTCGCTGAGAGAGTGAAGTGCAAATTCAGGCACCCGCAAGGATTAATTTACATGCCCAAATGGGGAGCTGTGCTTCAACAATGAGGCTCTACCCTGAAGTCCTTCAGTATGTCACATACATGCACAAGTCCAGATGCAGGCATTCAAGTGCCTACAGAGTATATCTTCTGGCAAGAGGTGCATGTGATATTGGGCTCATTAAGATTAAAAACATGAAATCAGATCCTCCTCCTTTTTTTCCTGCTCTGTTCTGTCTGTCTTTCCACTGGGTGTCAGAAATGCAGATTGCATTTGTACAACCGCTGCCTGCAGCATCGGAGTGAGACAGGGTTTATTTGTATCTTTCTTCTGTTTGTCTTTACAAATTGTTGGCTTCTTCATTCAGAAGTTTCTGAAAAAGAGAAATTCTCCTAGCACTGATAAGCTTTTTTTTTTTTTTTTTCTTTTTTCTTTTGTGAAGCAGATGTTATGTTTCTTAGAACACCACTGCTGACCTTTTTCCCATGCCTGTTCTCCTGGCTGGGGTGTGTGGGACGCCAGCAGCTCTGCTGACCACTGGCCCACATGCCTGCGGCTGGAGAGCCATTCCTCACCAAGGAGGCTTTGCATCAGCCTCCCTGACAAGCTGGGGAAATGCCTTCAAGCAGCTCCTCTCACCTCCTAAAAGCCAGGGTGTGAATTGCCAGCACATGTGAGACACCCTGCAGACTCTGGGGATGCTGAACTTCTGTTCTCCCACCACTATGGCCCCAAGTGCTCAGCAAATCCTTCCCATCCCCATTTTGGTGACAACTCCATTCCCCTGTTGGATGTTTTTCTCAGTCTCATGTGATGCTTTGGATGTGCAGGTGGTGACACAAGACAAGTGGGTCATTGCTGGCTTCCTAGGGCTACACATAATTTTTGGTGCATGCAACAATATGGCTTTTAGGGTCAGCCTTGACACAAGCAGCCAAGAATAGAGATGAGGCTTGCAGATGGGAGGTGGGTGGTGGTTACACTGCCCCGAGCATTGTAGCTGCTCAGGGGAATTTCTACCAAAGGTCTCAGCATCTACAGGGGAGAGCTTGCAGTTCCCATAATGCCAAAATGTGCCGTGTACTCCACACACAGCTACAGCCATGTCGGTCAGATTTTTATGCTCCTCATGGATAGAAACACCTGCCTCCCCAGAGAAAAATCAGGGGGAATTGTAGATGCCTTTGTAGCGTTGCCTGCCTCATTAAGTTAAAGTACTCCCGGATCTGCCTTTGCTTGTGGGTATCCCATTCCTCTTGCCCAGCAGGCACTGAGGTATGTTGAGTTAGGTTGATATATTCTGTGAACAGGTGGAGAAAAGAACCATTTATTCAGACAAAAAAAAAAAAAATAGTGGCTAGAAAGTTCATCCTCTGCTGCTGAGTAACCTTATCAATGAATATCAGTAGGTTACACATTTATGGTTATTTTTTGGTTCTAAATTTATTGTATGATTGCAAATTTAGCTTGCACAGTGTTCTCACAAATGAAAGATTTTTTATCCAAATAGTTAATTACACATATCTGCACAACCTCATCCATCCAGGATGGACGGGATATGAAAGGACAAGGGTAACACTGCTTGGACAACTTCTGCCTCCAAATGTAAGGAATGTCTAAACCCATATCTTGTAAAATACAGTGTCACTGTTGCCTTTAGCAAGACACCTCTCAAGAGAGGTGACACCTGGACATCTGTGTGCTTCTCTCATGACTGGGAAAGGGTGAAAGAGGGAGAAGAGAAGGAGGGGAAAAGGGAAGAACTCTCAGGACAGTTTGACCGTGGTGTTTTACAGCTTCAGAGCCCAGAGGCTGAGGCAGACAAGGGCCCACACCACACAGGGGCAGCCCAGAAGGGGAAGCTGTCCTTGGTAGAGATTTCAGACATAGCCTCTAGCACCTCCATCAAATACTCTGGTCCCTGCCCTAGCATCTGCAGCAAGGGAAGGCTTGGGAAGCTTTGGATTTTCTGAAGAGTGAAGATGTCTTGAGGAGCTGGGTGGAGAAGGACTGTGCTGCTGCCGGGAGGTCAGATGGCCAAACAGGAGTATTTCTGGTGACAAGGCCCCTTGGACATCTTGGACACCACCAGGAGAAGCCACCAAGTCAGTGACCTAGTGATGTAGACTGCAACAGGGAATTTGGCTCAGGATTCAGACCCCAGAAAGAAGCCTGTCAGATGCTCACTAGTGCTCATGTGAGGGGAAAAGGCTCCCACCCCAGAGGTTTCACCCCACCAGTGATAATCCTCCTGAAGAAACTATCAAGACAAAACCCTACTTTTTTGTTTTGTCGTTGTTGCTGTCAGTGGTTTGCAGTGAATTATGGGCAGTGTGGTGTGTTTACGCACTGTGGCTGAGTAAAAATACCTCTCTGTGCCCCCCCAAAAACCATCAACACTCTGAGGAGTCAGCAGATGAACTGGAGTGGTTAAACTCATTAACATTAGGTTAACTCCCATTGTGAAGCTCCTGGCTCGACATCAGAGAGCAATAAAACACCGAGTGCAACATGATGACTGTTCTGATCAGGAAATATGGGACATGTGTCATTACAGGGAACAAACAGGGCAGCAGAGGTGTCTGGCAGCAGCGCTGCTGAGTGTTCGTTGCCATCCACTCCCCCTCAATGTTCCTCTTATGCCCTTTATCGGCTTCCTCCGCCGCTGGGTGCAAACAAAGTCTGGCCCTTACCTGAGGGTCAGAGAGATGAGAGACAGTGTTACACAGGATATTCCCAGCATTTTCAATGCTTCCTTTGCGGTGCGTTATGAATGTCTGACTGACATGTCCGAGCGAAAGTGCTCCGGGTTCCCGCGGGACCTGTGTGGCTGTAAAACTCACAAACATAATAATAACAAAGTCATAAATTCTGACCTGTGGTACAGTCCGAGTCAAATAACAGCTCCCCAGCTGTGGAATATGTGCCCTTGTTGTGTGAAGGTGGCAGACCCGAGGGGAAAGTTCAGGTCGTATTTGTCAAGTTGTGTAGAGCCAGGACTGTTTAATGATCCAAATGCAGCCAAAAACCCCAAGCAGCAGGACAGATGCCCAACAATGTTTTCAGCCTGTTATGATTTACCCATTATTTTGTAAGTGGGGAAGGCTTAAAAAAAACAGGGACAGATAACCGAGCCAGGGCTACAAGTAGCTGAGATCCTATCATAAAAGATGGGTTTATCCCCTTCAAAACAAGCAGGATCCTTCTACTTTAGAGCTTTACCCAATTATGAATACCTTCAGGGCATGAGGACTGGATGCAGCCCAGAAGGAGAGGTGCAATATCCCATGGCTATTCCTGCTCCTTTCTGCAGTGATGTCTTTCTGCTTTCAACCTTGCAGCCCCCAAACCCTGAAAGACCTTAGGGAAACTCCAGGCCTTACAGAGAAGCAGGGAACTGTGCTGGGTGAATATTAAAGATGCCTGACAGAGCCATGAGCTAATTCAGATCCTTCCCAACAGAGCAGAAATGGCCTTTAATGTGCAGAAACCCCCTGAGTAGCCCATGCCTGTCTTTGGGATGTGCTCAGAAGAGTTGGCAACAAGGAGGTGTGCAGAGAAGAGGCCAAGGAGAAAGCTTGTTAAGGTCAGCCTTCCTCAGGAGTGGGATTTCCAGGGAAAAGGGTCTTGGAAGACTTCTTCATCCCCCCGTCTCCTCTTTTAGACTGGGATTGAGTCCACCTCAAGCCTCAGTGACACGCCGGAGTGGGCTGCTCGCCATCCGGAGAAGGAAGGACGAGATGATTTGTTTTTGTGAGTGTTTTTCTTTCCATGTCTGCTGCTTGGAAGGAAACATGTCTGCTTTTAGAGAACAATGCTGCCCAGGGCCGTGGGAGTCAGTTACTGATGTATGCGAATCCTAACCCGGACCCTGTTCCCAGGCCAGTGCTCGGCAGTGCTCAGCTGTGCACTGTCCCCATGCGGCACGTTAAATGTTCAACGAGAGGGACTGGGGGTAATTCAGCACTGCAGTCTCTTCTCCCCTTTAAGGGGACATGGGTTTTCCTGAGCTGTTGTAAACAAGCATGTGCTGGAGCCTCTTGAAGCCCCCCAAGTCCCCACTCTCCAGCCCATGACCTAACTTCCCACCTCTGATTTTTCCTCACTTCCCTACCACCAAATGCTTTCTCTTGATATTTTCTACAGCTTTTTCTTCTTTTCTTCCCCATCTCTACACTGATGAACTGATGGGGACAATATATAGTGATAGGACAGCTACCAAACATCTTCCTCTTCTACAACCAAGCACAGCAAAGCCAAATCTCATCTTGAGACAATGCAGTGCTCTCCAAGATCGTGAAATTCCTACCATATCTTTGGTAATGACATCAAGAGTCATCTATCCCTATTCTCCAACAGCCACCTTTGGAAGTAGGGAGGACTCTGCCTGGTTTTCAGCTCCTACCAGCCAGGTACCATTTTGTGCTGGTACTCCTCAGATGTCAGACTATGAAGGTTGCCTTCTGGGATGCAACCTTTGTACTCCTCTTCTTGTGCAAAATCATGTTTTAAAGGATTCCCAGCTGGTTTTCCAAACAACTCCTCTGACTGCAAGTATTTGCTATAAACTAGGAAAGGCTCAGTTAGGCTCCGGTTTCCATCTAAGTCTGAGCAATGCAGGACTGGGAGCAGGACATGTTTTAAAGGACTCATTACCAAGCACTATGAAATTGATATTATTAAGGTGAGGGGAGCTTAACAAAAACTGCAAAGTTTTGCAGAGTTTAGACAACAGGCAAGAGCAGAACTGAGAAAATACATTCCATGGATGTAACATGGACTAACCCCATTGGGTTAGTCCCCATTGGGATCCTTTAAGATGGTCCTGAAGGTCTCCAGGTCACCTGTAAAATAAACCACTGCACTGACACGTCAGGGAGTGCTTGAACAAGGCCCCTTAACATCCACCCGTCCTTCGGCGCACCTCTCCTGCCATCCGCCTGCCCAAGCCCAGCTAGTATGGGTTTGAATAGGAGCTTAGTTTTAAGGATAAACACATCCATCACAAAGCTGCTCGGCATACGCCAGTGCTGGCACTCACCCCCTCCCTGAAACCCCTTTTGAGGACTCTCAGTCCAGAGCCCGCATCTCCACTCCAGCCTTTTCACTCTCCAACCTGCCTTTTCAGCATTCCCCAAGCCTAATCCCACAGTTTACTGGGAACGCTGAGAGACGCAGGAAAACAAGGGGCGCTTTAACCCCCTTTCAAAGCCTTAATTCCCTCCCAGTTTGGTGTATTTAACTTGGGCACAGTTCTGAAACAAAAGGTATAGAGACTCCAAGTTGTTGGGCAGGGGGAGGGAAGAAAGTTGGTTTGATTTTGAGAGCCCTGGAAGATCATTAAAATTTCATAACAGGCAGAAAGAAAAAAAAAAAAAAAAGTAAAAAAAAAAAAAAAAAGTTGTTTGCTTATAAGGTCTCTAGTGTTTAAAGAGCTAGAGACAAAACTGCCGAGCAGTATATTCCAGTTTATCCTGTGGAATAGGAAGGAATGGCCCCAGACGTAATTACAAGTAAGTAGTGCACCGAGAGAGGGGAAAAGCGCAGGAAATGTGATGTCTAAGAACTCTTTTTTTTTCCTCTGGTGTTTAATCATTTTGCTGGGTGTACAGTAGGGATTGTTTGTTTGTGTTTTTCGTGATCTGCCTCCGTCATAACATATTGGATTCTTTGATGGTGAATGTGCGGGATGGGAAGAATTTTTCTACAGCAGCTTCTGAAATTCAATGCAGTTTAAAGCAAAACCAGGGAACAAGGGTGAAATGTGAAGCTTGTTTTGTGAGTTTACGGAGCTGAAACCCAGGGTATGAAGTTTCAGTGGTGGTCTCACTACTTATTGACTTTTAAGTTTTATTCACCGAACAAGCAACATGAGAGAGATTTTGCAAAGCAGGGAAATGATATCTCATTAATATTCTACATAGCAAAAAAAGAGAGGAATAATAACATTAGTGGTTATAAAGAAACAGGGAGATCATGATGAATGCTAGGCTGTGTATGAAAACTATACAAGCACGTATAGATTTCAAAAATATGTTCTATTTCTCTTCTTTATCTGACTTCTTAAAAATACATTAATATTAAAATGGAATTTAAAAGCACTGAATAACAACATTCACAAAATATTTCTCAGAAACACAGAACTCGATCTGAAAAAAAAAATCAGTCATAAATCACAGAACACATTAAGAGTCACAATATAGAAATAGAACACTATAAAATATTCTTCTCGGTACAAAAAAAATCTGCAACAACAAATGCATTAAAACGATGCAAACATGAGTAAAAGTATTATATTACTGCAAAGACTGAAGATATCAGTTCCATTTTAAAAACTCTTTAGAGTACTTTAAAAAAATCATCAATAGTAAAAATCTTGTTCTATATTGCAGCATATTTATTTATGAAAACAACAACAAAAAAGTTGGATTATATTTTATTATTAACATACTTTTATTTCTTCAATTTGTACTGATTTAATATATTTAATGAAATGTTTGTTACAATAAAAGATACATATCTTAATTTTCTATTTTGCTTTACAAACAAACGAAAACCCCTACATATAATTTCCTGCAGTTAAATGATTGTTAGGTAACCCTTGAGCTGGGTACAAAAGAAATACATTGAATTATGTCTTTAAAAAACATAATATTTTTGGTAGTTTTAATGATTATAGCACAATATAATGCCTCTGTATATATCAAATATACATGTTTCATGCTTCTAAAAACAACTTTATAACCAGGGTAAGAATTTTTAAATGTGTATAGCTAAATTAGAAAGGAATTCCTGTAATGTAGTGTGGGATTTGTACTCCTAAAAACATGGTGATTCATTGGTAAAATTTTGCATTAAGTTAATCCTCTGCTTTGAAATGTTCATCTCCCAAGAAGAATTAGTTGTTTTTAATTAGGATATAATTTTCTCTTTACTTTTTGCAACTCCTGGCAATGGAACAGCTTCCCTACATTTCAACTTTTACCTATGCAATTGCACAAATAAAACACAAAGCATAGGTCTGTAGATTGTACACGTGTAAAATCTCATCGTTGTTTTAAGGAGTTTCCCAGATATGAGACTGATCCAAGTCATGTTGAAGTTAATGAGTCATTTCTATCTGCTCTAAAGGGATTTGGATCCAAACACCGGACTCCTTACAAACTGGAGTCTGTACTTTCATAAGAACATGAATTTTATCATTTTGTAAAATCAGGCATAGTTGCCCGTGGAATAGTTTAGACTATAGTTGGAGAGTGTGGTCTGATAATGATATTTTCCTTCATGTACTCTGGACTTATCACTAGCTCTGTGGCTAACACAACTTGTGTCAGCTTATTTCTCACTCATGGGTTAATAAACAACGTGCTTTGGCATAGTGCTTTTATAGCAAAACATAATGAGCTTTTTTTACCCTAACTTTCCTTTTAGTATTTTTCAAAAACAGATAAGGTTACTCATATAAGAGTTCAATCCAAATTTTGGTAATTAGCAGAGTAGCCTCAAATCTCATTACATTTATTAGAAAATTGAGAATTCTGAGGGCTTATAGGAATTCTGGAGTCAATGGAGCTTCAAATGCGTTTTGCCTCCTTTTCTTTCTTGCTTCTATACTTTTTATTCCTTGCTGTTCCGTTGCGTGTGCCTTTTCACAAAGCTTTCATTCGGAACGGGGAGAGGGTCTGAAAAGGGTTAGCTTAGACTAAACACAGTATGGAAACAAGGACTATGTTGTCACATCAGGTTTGCTCAACACTTCAAATCTGCCTTGGGTCTCCATGTCCTGCCATAATGCAAATGAGAGTGTTCTTGCTGGGAACATGTCATTCCCGTGAACATTAAATGCTGTCATGCAAGCCTCGTGGGAGCAAGCTGCAGCAAGTCCTCCTGATTTAAGAGCTATTACTGATGCTGCTATTATTACTTTACAGGGGTACAGCAGGGATTCACAACCTCAGTTCTCAACCTTTCCCTTATTTCTACATGGGAGGAAGCGAGGTGGCAAGGCTCCCAGCTAGACATATTTGTCATCCCAGTATGTAGGAATAATTGGAGCAAGGCTCCTGTTAGGGAGTTTCACTTGTGTAAAAGGAACCCTCGGATCATTTTTCAGACAGAAAGCTTTAAAAAAGTGACTATTTAAATAAATAAATATGTAAATAAAGCCACTACCCTTTATCACCAGGTGACAATAGGGTTGTGGAGAATCAATGGGTGCACTTATTTGCATGTATGATAGATTATGTCATTTATGTGCACAGAAAGCTTCTGGGATTTGCAACCTGGACAGCTGGCAATACGCAGGGATCCCACTCCTGATGTACAAATGGGAGCTGGCATAGATGCACTTCTTTCACTGAGCTCCTGATGGCAAACTGTTCCAAAGAGGCTGGAGGTGTTGGGGTGAACTCTGATGGACCATTTCCAGGGATGAATCCAGCACCATGGAATTCCCACTACTTTCCCACCCCAATACAGAAAACTTTGCTGGCTCAGGGATGCAGCTTGCAACCCCTCTGGTACAACACTCATATATAGAGACCTTTTTATCTCCAGGTTTTCGTATTCTGGAGAAAATGATCACTGGCCATAACAAACATATCTTTCAGTAGTTCTGCTGAGGGCGCAACAGCCCAAGTCTTCAGCGTGGCATTGAAATGCATACCGCAGGCTAGGAGCCATAGATATGTCCTTATTCTTCCGTTTATCCTTTACACTTGATCCTGACCCAGTCAGTCATATGTTGTTCTTTCTGGAGGGCGGCAACTCAGAAAATGCCAAATCTCTGATTTATTTGTGGTTAAGAAAACGGCCCCTGCATGATCTGAAAGCTCCCCTCCTTTTCATTACAGTACCTGCCAAAAACCTTAAACTCTCCAAAACTTTCCTCAGCCCTGGAGTTGTTATTGCAGCTCCAGCACCCTGGTAAGCCCCTTGTCCTTAAGCATGTGATGGAGAAGACAACGCCTGCCTTAGCACAGCCACTATCTGCAGCAGAGCCAGGACAGGGGATGGGGCTGAAGCTGCTGAATGAGGTCATAATAGATTGGAGAGCAGATGTAAAACCAATTCCTCCAAATTCGGTGGAGAGGCAGTCTGCCCTTTCGTACTCCCAGTGTAGTCTTTTCTCTTTGACAATTTGCTGAAAGGACCTCCATTGTGTGTTACTTAACACAGATGTGAATTTATTGCAAGCTGATGCTTTCTGTTTTACATCTCAGTGGCACAAGTAGAAGAACAATTCACCCCAGATCTCTGACTCCACACCGCACCCAAACGTGGTAAAGCTCTGAAAGGCACTGATGCAGGAGATCCCTGCTTGTCCTGGCCTGATCCTGAATGATACTGACACCCACTGACTTTTCCTTGTAACAGATGCTTAGGAAAAAAGGAGAGAATTTGAATAAATAGTACAAAAAAGGAGGTTTATTTCCAAAACACAGCTTAAAATACCAGACACCACAGTGTCGGGTGGAGAAGATTGCATACAGCATTAACCACATTCCTCGTGTGCAAGTCCGCTTGTCCTGAGTTTATTCCCCTACTGTTTGCATAGTGGAGAATAAGCAGAAAAGGAAAGAATAGACCTTTCCCAGGGAGGAATAAAATTCAAATCTTAGCTTATCAAACTCAGTGGAGGAGCAAGGAGTGACAATGCCTTGCAGACAGATGTTCCCCAGATATTTATCACACCTGTGCTGTTTTGGTGCCTTGGCACTGTCTGGTCAGGGCAGTGCAAATGGGGACACTAAGGGCACCCTGTCCCTCCTGTCCTCCCCACCGAGCAGTTGCTGAGCTGTGTTGTGCTATAGTGCAGGTTTTTTTTCAGCTGGACAGCAGGCTATCCACCACAGGGTGTCCTTATCCTAATGCTTCCCTTGCCCTTTACCTTGTTTAGCCCTTTTGCCATAATGATATAATGTTCAGAATGGCAAGAACACAAAATAGCTCATGATATGCCTCAAACTGTGAGAAAAGACTATCCGATCCTCCCCAAACACAGACCTGCTCACTTCAAAGGCAGCAATATTTAGACAGTAATCAACATCGCGTTTTATTCCCTTTCCTGACCCAACGTGTATATTTGCTCAGCCACTCTTTCCGCCCATCCAGAAAATCTGACATGTCCAAAGCACACGTGGGGCTGAACAGAGGCTCCAGGCAATGCTGGGCAAAGCAGTCCCAGGGATGGTCCCAATGGCCTGGCTGCTATGGGGCCACAAGTCCTGCTACCCCACAGCACAAGATTTGCTTCTGGGTTGCTTTATTTATGGATATAACCCATAAAGCATTCTCCCACCTAAGTGAGAAACTTCCTCTTTGCCTTAAAGATGGTGAAATAAGAGTAAGCAAGATGGTGAAATGGGAGCAATCAACCAAGTTACAGTCTCAAAATGAGATCTATAACTCCCAGGAGGCAGAAGATATCCCTTGTGCCATTCCCATGGTGATTTCAATGTGTGATACATCTCAGAACAACTGACTGTGGAGAACTGAATTTCTTCAGTTCTCA